AACGTTTTAAGCTTACCCACAAGGCCACAACTCAGTGCCTGAACCAAAGGTGAAGTAGGATGTCTGTGAACGGTGAAGGCAAAGCAGGACGTCAATAAGGAGAGGATGGAGACTTGCGACTTGCAATGTGAGCAGTGAAGGTGAGGCACGATGTCATTGAACACTGAACGGCAAAGGCAAAGTAGGGTGCCACTGGGACTTCTGTCGCCTGGGTGCCACGTGCAATGTGAGCGGCAAACAGAGGAGGGAGTGCCATTGTCAATGAACGGTTGAACTATGAGGCCCACCGTTAGCAACACTATGGATTTTGGTAGGGGGAATGACTGGAGTTTGGAAGAAAGAGGAAGGAATCTCGACGATTTGGGGGGAGGGGATTTCGATTTGCAAAAATAGGGGAGGACTGAGGAGGCGAGCCAAGTTGAATGTGAGGGAGAAATAGTTTTTTTCCCCCCTTAAAACCCAGTCGATGTCGTTTTATCCTGGCTGGGGAGCAAAAAAAATTAAACCGAGTGAACCACCCAACTGGTTTTTACCCAATTCAACATTGGTTTTTACCGGTTGGGCCGGTTCCCCACCAGTTCATATTTAGACCAGTTCTTTTGGCAAACTAGACTGGACTGGCGACTGGTTCACTAGTTTTCCAGTTGAACCAGCTGGTCCGGTCTCCTTTTTTTCTCCTTGATTAAAATGCTACTCATAAGCCATTTAAAACGAGCCCTAAGATGTCTATGGCACAAGACAAGTGCATTGGATACACGCCCTCACATAATTATTATAATGGCAAATTTGCCCCTTATTAAATATAAACAGGATCATCACCCATAAACTTGGTTTTGTAAAATTTTTTTTAAGAAATACTTTGTTAAACATCCCCTATATGTGTGCATTTGCCCGAGGAATATTGCATATTTAATTTTGCATTTAAAGATTACAGGTTCGTTTAATTTCAATTCAACTAGCAAAAGAAGAAAAACAAAAGCTCTGGCTCGCACAAGGTCAAGTTGAAATAGATTATCTCTATAGAAATTATGGGAGGTCTCATTTTTAAGGGAGGTTCTATTGAAATATCTTCAGGAGGATATTGATATATTTTGTTAAAAGGAAATATAGTCAACTCGTCATATCTATAATATTGTTAAATTTGTTCCAACTTAGCTTCACATGACTTTTGTTGAAAAAAAAATCTAAATAAAAAAGGAAAGGATCGGAGTAAGAACAAAGAGGGGAGAAAAAGGAAGTTGCAGATAGTGAGCTGTAAATGGCAAGAATGATAATAAAAAAATAAATAAGGAATTGAGTCATAAATGAATCAAAAGTTTAGAGACTTGGTCACACCAAATCACAATTGAGAAATTGAATTATAAATGGGTTAAAAATTAAACGATTAAAGATTAATCTTCTCATTCATAATAACACATTTATTTTTAATTAAGTTATAAATATCCAAACTCCCAATTTGTGTAAAAGATGTGTTAACTCTAAGAAATTCATATTTTTTTTTATCACATTTTCCTCCTTAACTTCCTGTTTTAAGAGTTAAATTGTGCGTAGAAATAGAGCCATAAAGAAAAATGTGTTTAGTTTAGTTTTTTGGAACACTCTTGAGATGATTGTGATTATTTGGAGTTGTTTAGAACTTACACATTTATCTATTAAGTAGGAGAATGGAGACCAGGGTTTTCAAGCTATGTAGGACACCTTTGAAGAGTAGATTAGCTGGAAGGAAGCATGGAAGAGCTTTAAAGACTAACACAAAAAACTCTCATTTTCCAGTACATTGGCTATTAGTTCGCCACAACTAATGCTAATGCAGCCTGAGAGGGGTGAAATTTGTGGCTATTCGCTGTTGATTTGCCACAGCCAATCCACAACAAATGAAGAAACCTGTTGCCATGCGTTTCAATTACTGATACGCTGTTAAGGTTAAATGGAAGGAGAAATGTGATGGTTGGGCATTTTGGACTACTGGGGCTATCTTGGGAGAGCTTTGGTGTGCTAGGGCAAGGATTTTGGTGGAGATTGAGTTAGGATTTAAAGATTAGAAGAGAGTTTGGCTTCACATCTTGGTTCTTCTTCTCCATTCTCCCTTTCCTTCCTCTTGTTCAATGTTTGAGCTGAATATATATATTTTCTCATCGGAGTTCTGAACATGTATGGCTAAAGCTTTGATTCTAGGATTACTTTGAACCCTTGTATGGATTAACTCTTGATTCCTCCTCTCATTTTGTGATTAATGATATATATGTGTTTATTTCAACCTTTGCTTAATGCTTCGAAGTGCTTGATCACCATTTAGATGTTCTGTTCATTTCATTGATGCTTGAGAAGGCTAGCTTAAGTACAGAACTTGAGTAAAATTGTGTAGGAACTTAAAGTTTACTTGTTGAATGGATGGTTTTGTTGGTAAGATAGAGATATACTTGCTAACCTTACATGGTCACCTTAGGATTATAGCTTAAAATTGGGTTTTATTAATTGTAACAAGAGATTGAGCAATTAATAGAATTAAACACTTGTTCTTGACTTGAGAAAGCTTTTACAAGTACATTTTGAATCCTAGACTAACACATATTTTTTCATTAAAAGCTTTTATGAGAGGAGGTGAAATTGAATGTTACTAAATACAAGGGGGATAATAATCCTAGATCCCAATTTATCCTTGAAGTCCAAGAATAACTTGTTTTTATTAATTTTTTATTTTTAAAAGTAGTTTTCTTCGTTCTTGATATATTTGTATTACTCAAATTAAGCAAAAGTGTAATAATTAATACTTGACCGGGTTTTGAAACTAAATTCTCATGGGAACGATACTTTTCTCATCATTTTATTACTTGTGACGACCTGTGCACTTGTGGTGCAAACAGGCATCAACATATTTTACCAATTATAAATGCACTTATCCCACCTGATCAATGAAAAGTACTCATCCACTCCTTAATATAAGACCTATTTAACTTATTTGATTAGATTAAGAAAGTTAGGTAAATTAGTTAATTATAATAAATATGACATGTTTTTTCTAAAATATCTTAATTATCTTCATCATATCCTCCCTCCCTCTCATACTTGATTATAGTTGAGGGAGTATCAATAGGAGTGAGTAAGGTAAAATTGATAGATATAAACAAATAGGTCTTATATTTAGAACCAAAATCAACTTCATAATTAGGTCCTATATTAAGGATCGGATAAGTATATAACAAGACATGGTTTGTCCAAATATATATGTGTAGTGAGCACACACACATATGGTGGCATTATCTGTTTCTTCTAATTTATATGTATAATACTACATGCTTTTCTCTAATTTATACTGTTTCTTCTTTCAGATATACGAATCTCTTAGGTTTAATGTTTCAAAGATAAGAGATGGAGATGAAAAATAAGGTATCTGTCATTTACTTTAGCTTATAATGTTACTACATTTGTTCTTTAATATAAGAGCTAGTTAATGAATTTGAGTAGATTAAATAAACTAGTTAGGTTAGTTATTTGCAATAAATATATATTGTCTTTCTTAAAATATCATCGCTAATCAAGTATATTGGCTAGAATTACCATGATTACAAGGACTATCTTATAAAAAAAATAAATAAATATAAGATACAAAGTGGATTGAGGTCTTATATTTATAATCAAAATAAAAATCAAACAAACTGTTATATTGAATATCAAAGGTAGTATTTCTTACATGAGATGTACTGCTTTAGCTTTTAACACTTTTTTGTTGGTCAAGTAGCTTTTAACGCTCTGGTGCTTTGTGGATTTTTTTCCGTGGTCGACGATCTCACCAGCTGAATGTTCTGAAACCAAGAGGTTGTAGCAGGAAAATCTCTTCTTCGAGATTTATATGTATATGTACTTCTATGGCTTAATTTCTATACATTTCTCTGATTTATGCTGTTTGTTGTTCATAACTTTTTTTTTTTGGATAGGCATAGGCATTTTTATATTAGAGACAATCATATTTAATATATTATTAATATATTATAGGTATTAAATATAGACACATCTTTCAATAAAAATTCAATGCTCAGTCCACCATCACATGTTTGCAATTTATAGCTGTAGCTTTTCATCTCTATATGGGGCCCTGGACTGGGCCTATGGTACTAGTCATCGTGATTCATGAGCTTCTGCTAACACTTTGGGCCTGTGGGTTATGCGGGGGCTACTCTCCTTTTTATGTTTGGTACAAAACGTATTAATTATTATGAACCATGCTGACTTTAGTCAATACTGGATGTTAGCTAGTGCCAGATAGGACTTAGGACCGGAGACAGTGAGGACAATCCTTTTTATGTAAAATGTTGTAAAATTGAATAGATAAAGAATCTAACCATTATTTTCTAATAATTTTTTGTTGAAATTGTTCATCTTAACATTCAACGATAATCAATATTGATTTTCATACAAAAAACTGTTTCTTAATCATGTTTGAAGGATAGAAAAAGAGCAAATTCAGTCAAGTAAAAATAACTATTGCATCATAAATTCATGATCATGCTTTGGATTTGAAGAAACAAAGGTCAAGGGGGTCGCCGTGGCTAGTAACTGGCAGTTGCTTCCTTGGATTCCCAAGGGTTTGATTTGACTTGGAATAAAACGGATACTCATAAAAGCATTCTTTGAAAAATCCTTTTCCTAGACCTTTAACTAATGGTACCCTGACCCTAAGTCAACCTTATACTGATCACCTGATATAATCCGATCATTTTTCTATAAAAGAAACATATCTGCAAGAAAAGGCAAATATGGAATAAAGTAGTACATTGATCATCAACAAGTTGTTGGTTGATATGATAAGCAGTCACATCCCCGTAAGCAGTAGAAGACAAGTTTGAATCTTGAAAAGTGTACTTATTGGAAGGGCTTTAACTTTAACACTTTTGGCCCGACAAAGTTTAGTCTCAAATCTAAAGTAACTTAGGATACTCTGAGTTACACCAAAAAGTAGTACACTGATCATGAAAATAAGTAAAATAAATAAATAAATAAATGTTGCGCATGCCATGAGACTTGACCGGAGAATCTTAGATACTTGTGGAATCACTGTCGTTTCCTGGAATTGTTGCCCTGTTGTTCTTCAAATATGAAAAAACCAATATTGCCCAGATGAGGAAGACATATATTGGCATCTCATGGCGGGAGATGAGGAATGATATTAATATTGCACAAGCTAGAGAACCTGAGATAACATCGCCTGTATATCCATAGATGCCTCTACTTGCCATAAAAGTCCAGGCCCTTGCAGAGTCTTCCTCCAATGGTGATGAATTTGGGAAGCGCCTCTGCACCATGCGAGTTAACTCTTCCATTGAATGGCCAAAACCTTCATGTCGAGGAATGGACCTGCATAATAAGCACCAATAAATTAATGAAAAAGTCAGAATGAGAAATCGCAAGAGTCCTGATAATGAATTACTACTAAATCATATAACATGTGGATAGCAAAACTATAGCAATTTCCACCCCTTTTTCATCAAAATCACTTCCTAAAATTCCTCATTCCCCACCCCAAGCTGAGGGCCCTTTATCCGATCCATAATAGTAGCATCTTGAAGGGAGAATCAAGATTGAGAAGTCAGGGAAATAGAGAACCAAGCATAGCAAGGAGTTAAGGTAATCATAAGCTTGATTTTGGATTACATTTCATCAAGTTTTTGTCAATATTTTTCTCTTTGGTTAACCAGTCCAGATTGTCGCCTCTTTCTAGGATGAAAGTGTGGTCGTCTTTGTATTATGGTTACAAACAAAAGAACAAAGGATAGATGGAAAAGAGTGGTTTTGCTGATAGAATTTAGAAACTCCAAGTTAGGAGCCTATGATGCATATGTTCTGTCAAGCATGGAACTCCAAGTCAGAAATGGATTCCTCATGGAACTTTATTCGGTGAGGAAATAATTCCAGAACTAGAAGAAATAAAACTCTAATTCTTTGATATGAAAGATCAAAATAGAAAAAGGAAGGGATAAAGGGAGTTTTAAGTTGTTCATGAATACTCCTGAGCCTTGATAGACGTGCTATTTGTGAATCTAGGATTCAATAATTTGCGCTAAGGACTGCTTGAATCAAGTCGAAAAGGAAGGTTGTGAAGTTTAGAAAATCGAAGGTAGCAACTCTTATCATTGATGTAACTTAACATTGTTCTGATCTGGTATGGTATCACCTTGAATTTGACATGAGATTATGTGCTGAATTTATTAAAATATTTGTTGGAATTATTGATTAAAATTGTGATATGACATTTATACAGTTTCTTTATTGAAGGGTATGGATCTTCATTGCAATAGCTACGAATTCATGTGATGGAATTTGAATGATTTGGATACTTGAATGGGTGATGTTACAGCTAATTAGATTTCTATATATAACCTCACTCTCCAAATACTAATATTTTAGGTTCAAAACTCAATCATGGAAAAGAGTAAAAAGAAAAAAATGAAAAAAAGGAACAAGAACTTAGCTTCTAAAATATATTGGAGATTAAAGTGTGTCATGTTCAATTATACTTTGCCAAGACTTGCCTTCGGGTTGTTTATAGTATCACATGAAATATGCTCAAGGATGAACTCAGGTATGTAATATGAAATCCTATTAGTTAAACCATCAGTTCAAGCGTGCCTATTCGACATACTTATGCCTAGGTATTTGATTATACAATTGTCCAACTAGTAATCCTGAACAGTTATGTGGATTCTTTAGAAGTCTGGGATAGCAGGATACCGTTGGAAAAGAGAAGGAAAAGTAAATGAGGCAAATCCTTGTCCAGTTGTGCAAAATTGAATTTTTAAGGGCACAATTGAAAATAAAATTTAGTTAGAATTCTGTGCTATATTCCTTACGGAGAATGTCTCAATCATGATTTTTCCCCTATACAGGATTTCAAAATCTTTAAAAGAAGATTATTGAACCACCTCAACAATGATTTTTGTAGAATTATTGATGAATTTTTAAAATTGAGACAAATTTCTTGAGTCATTAAATTTATGGTAACCTTAAAGAAGTTTTTGAAATTAGGTCCTTCAAGCTTTGAAATGTCTTGAATAGGGTCCCATGCTTTTATGAGAAAAGATTAAGATATGACAGAAGAGTGAGAAGATATATATTGACCTCAAGAAGTCTGCGATTGATGTATATTGAGCAAGTATGGTGTCGGCATTATAGATGGATAACCATAAGATAACAGCCGCCAACCTTACATAGAATTCCTCAAGTAGTGTTGAGATTAAAAACCCTAATGCTACATGAGCACTAAACCTGTATAAGCATAAAATTAATAAAAATCTGTTGTATGTGTAAACCTGACCTCAAGAGATCAAGAGCTTTCACATGTGGGAAGAAAGAAAATAGAGAAACCAATGACAGAAGCATTGGAGGAAATTAAAAATGAGAAGATATATATATACACATATATAGACATACCACTTCCGGTCTTTAATATGAAAGCTAATTAACTAATTTAAATAAAAAAAATTAATTAAGTTAGTTATTTATAATAAATAGGTGATATCTTCTCTAAAATACTCTTGCTAGTTATGTGTATTAGTTAAAACTATCATTTGATGAAATATTTAACATCTGTAACTACGACAAGAACTATCTTAAAAAAAATTAGATAAATATAAAGGCAAAATAGATTAGGGTCTTACGTTTAGAATCAAGCTAAATGTTAAACTAGCTCTTATATTAAGAATAAGAGGAAATATAGAGATACATGCACACACTGACCTGAAGAGATCTGCCCAGGATGGAAACGGAAAAGAAGTCATTACCACACCCATGGCGATGGCATAGATAAATAGTATTATTACTGGTAATATGGTAAGAGCACAAAACATTTCTGATCTTGCTTCGGATAGTGATGAATCTGATAAGAGCACTCCAATGATAACAAGTAATACTGAGATGATAAACTGAAAAGCTGCATGTTGATGAATAAACCTGCAGAGCAACGAAGCAAATATATACCTTCAAGAGGGAAAAATATTCAATAGCTACACAACTACACGCAGCATAAAACCCCAAATAAAGCCTTACTCTCTAAACACAGGTTACCATGTTCCTATAAAATTCTATTGATTAAACGTTTATTGTCAAAAATAAAAGAAAACCAATTACTCTCTCGTGCTCTTTACAGAAAAAAGGTAACTAATTCATGGATTAATTAAGAAATACATGGGAAAAAAAATGCCCACATTGAAATTTAACGATACTAACCTAATTATATTCCATCAATGAGGGCTTTATAAAAAGAATAATTCAATAAATACATGAGACTAAGGGCTAAATTTTCGGATATTTAGGATTGAAAGAACACTCCTAAAACAGTGGAGGGAGTAAATGCTTAAAGATCCACGTAGACAAGTAGGCTTCTTTCATAGCATAAGCCCGTAAAAACAGGTAAGCGATGCAAGGAATCAGAGTGGGTGGAAATGAACTTTCTCTTAGTGAGTCGATCACAATGAGAAGTCATATAAGTTCTAATAATGAATTACACCTTCATAAAGCTGCAAGAGAAAACAAACCAAAGAGAAATCATAGCTTGGATCCTCTCAACAGGAGATCCTGCGCAGACTAGTATGAGCATTTCTGTCGCACAAACTCACAAAGTCTGCAAATAGAGATTGAAGGAGGAGTGAGATTTGAGAAGAAATATAGTGACCTTAACAGCTGAAAAGAGGGCATCGTTGCAAGTGCGGCGTTGGACAATGGTTCGTGGCGGCAGCGGCTGCAATAAGTTTGAGTGGAGGGTTTGGGGTTCGATGCAGCACATTTTTATAGTACTACCTTCGATCCTTAATACAAGAGTTAGTTGTCTAATTTGAGTAGACTAAGAAAACTAGTTTAAATTAGTTATTTGTAATAAATAGATATTATTTTTTTTAAAATATCCTTAATAATCAAGTGTATTGGCTAGAATTACCATTATCACAAGGACTACCTTGAGAAAAAATAAATAAATATAAGAGACAAAGTGTATTAGGGTCTTATATTTAGGACCAAAATAAAAGTTAAATGAGCTCTTATATTAAAGATTGGAGGTAGTATAAAATTGTGGATGATGTGAGGATGATTCAAGCCTACGATGGTTGGGAATTATCAGATTCTGGAACTGCTCGGAATGTTTTGTCCACGGTGGCGATTTGACTGGGCATTCAAACAAAATATAGCTTAAATAATTGCGCTAAAGCGAAGCAAACCACATGAAACCCAAAGCCATTTAATAAACGAAAAAGCTTCACTTAGTCAAAGTCAAATTTCATCCCTAAACTTACTTTTGGTGCCAATTTGATTTTTAACAAAATCAAGTAATTAAGTTAAAATTGAAAAGAAGCAGAGAACATACCTAAAATCTATGCAGGGCCATCCAAGAATGTGAGTATTTGAAAGTACCACAGAATCAGATGCCACAATTTGGACCAGATGAGGATGGCTGTAATTCATATTGAATGTGAGGTTTGTCAACTGTTATTGTTGGGTGCTTCATAATTCTGTGTTGATGATGCAGATCTGATGCACTTATGGAAATAGAAAAGAGAAGAGTCGAAATTCTCATAGATCCACAAAGACAAGCAGGCTACATAAAACATTTGTAAGAGCTAGGAAATATAAAGGACAAATTGCTGCAATATTTCAAGAAACTACATACAAAGAAGTAATAAAAACAGGTGCAAACTATTTACCAATAAGTTATTTATCGTTCATGGTCTGTTTTAGCCATGTGCCACTTGAACAGATTGGATGAAAGAAAGTAATATTAAGGATATTTTGAAGACAAATAGAAAGTAAAGAAGATACGTAACAACAGAAGCAGAGATAAGTAATATATGAACTTAGACACACACACAAACAGATATGTGTATATGTTGAAGCAGAGTTGATGGGAAAATTAGAGATCGATAGGGGCAAATTAAGATAGGAAAAGAAAACCAACACAGGAACTTCAACATCATGAGTTGCAGCAGCAGAGATTAATATAGAGGAGGAAGGGAAGGATGTAAGTTATGCTGATTGACCTAAAAGCCTCGAAGAGAGTATTATATTGCGTGATGCAGAAGGCATATTGAGGTTCTGATGAGCTAGCTGCTATGGTTGCTTTGATATGAATTGGAGATTAAGAGAAAATTTTGAACAAAAGAGAAAGGCTTTGCAAATGAGAGGTGGAGGATGAAACAAGAAATATATTGGCCGATTGCAAATTGTGTTTTTTTCCTTTGGTCAACGATAATGTATCCAATTAGTGGATTGCTATTATATTTCCTATTGGGTAACGTTCACGTTAACGTCGTAGGCAAATTAAACCACTCGCTTGATGGAGACGGATTAACTGCACCTCATTAGCTTGCAAGTTCCCACAAATGGGGAAAAAAAATGTCGTACTTAATTTTTAATTGAATATTTAATTACTTTTTTTTTTTTTGCGCAGCAATCATGTGATGCTAAATTGATAATCATAACTTGTAAAATTTACAAATCTGTTCTGATAATATTTTATAATTTTATTAAATTTTAATACCCTTGCATTATAATATTAAAATCAATGATTTAATTATTGAAATGAAGAAATAAAGAATGGTGGTTGAAGAACAAGAAACTGGATTCACTTACGCATGGCCTTGAAAGGATCATATAGTAGCGAGGGGGAAGAACAAGGATCTGCGAAGGGAAGGATCATCCAATCAAATTATGGAAGTATCCATTTCCTTTTCCAGTGAACCAAACATGGCCTTATTCTTGGACTACTTAATTCCTACTACGTTTCGCAACCCCACAGCATGCCTGCATGAGAGTAAATAAAAAATGAAGGGTGTGATGAGATATTGAACACCAAAAGCATCGTTGAATCACTTTCTCTTACGCGAAAGATTTGTCATTTGCAAACTAATTGTCTAGTGGAGAAAGCAAATATAACCTCCAAGTTGTAGCTTGCCTTACGTAACATTTGATGTGAAGACATAGATGCATATATGCATGAGATAGTTGTTCATGGAATGGTGAAAGATTTGGTAAGTGACATCCAACAACACCTAATATTACAATGGGTTTTTTAAAGGCTTTTTTCTCGAAGAATAACCCTACGTAATGTAAGAAATGAGGTGGGATTGCATCAAAATTTGTTTTAATAATTATAATGAGTATATGAATATGCAAAACTCATTCTAATAATACATACATACATATAACACTACAAAAAAACATGGTTTTAGCGACGGAATTTTCAATTTAGCGACGGAATTAGCGACAAATTAGCGACTTCGATATTTTAAAAAATAAAATAAAATGCCACGTGGCACCTCTACCAATTGCCACGTCATCACTGGGACCACCTCCACGTGGCGTTACCACCTCACCTCCGCCTGCCACGCGTGCGTCACGTGTCAACACCACATAATTCCCTTCTCAAAGTGACTTCTCCATAGCTTGAACCCAGGACCTCCTCCGTGCGCATGTGTGGCTTTACCAGTTGAGCTACAATGAACCTGTTGACTTATATATATATTATTAAATATATATTATATTATTTTAGACAAACAATTATATATATATTATTAAAAACTAAAAATATACTATATGATAATTTTAATCATAACTATTTTAATGAAAAAATAATTTTTAAATATTTGTTTTACTATTTTTATAATGTTTTATTTTTAAAAAAATATTTTTAATATAATTTTAATTTCTAATGACACTAATTTTGAATTTTACATCATAAATAATTTTTCATAAATAATTTTTAAATTTATTTTTTAATTAACATTGATAAGATATACAATTTAATTATATATATTATATTACATTATATTAAATTATGTATATGTGGTTTATATATTTGAAGAAAATCATTTACAATTAGTCAAAAAATCTTGTTATTCAAAAAATTCAAAAAATAACTACTATAATAAAATCTAATAAATTATTCTATATAAAAAATTAAATGATTTAAATAGATTATGATAAAAAGTATTTTTCTACTTGTATATATATCCTATGTAATTTATTTTCTTAAAATTTGTGACGGAATTTGCGACGGAATTTCTGTCTCTAATTTTTTTGATAGATTAGCGACGGAATTGTCTGACAAAAAAGATTCCGTCGCTAATTTTTTTTGATGGATTAGCGACGGAATTTAGCAACGGATTAGCGACGGAATTCCGTCGCTAATCCATCCAAAAAATTAGCGACGGAATTTCCGTCGCTAATTTGCGACGGAATTTGTTTCCGTCGCAAATTCCGTCGCTAATAAGCTGCTTTTGTAGTGTAAAGAATGATCAGAAAGAACCAAAACTAGATACTCTACATCAAACAAGCATAGGGAAGCTGCTTCAATTCTTATTCTGAGGTTTATGAAGAGAATTAGATAAATATGAAACATTAGGAACATATAACAATGCAAAAAAAGGGAAGGAGGAAGTATATCGATTTATTCCAATAAAGAAATTGTTTGTTCAAACTCGCATGCATCGTTAGAATATTCAAATGTACTATTATTATTATTATCGAGAAGATAAAAACCTTACCTACTACCTCCCACCCCACCTCCCAACCCAAAAACAAATTACGAGATAGCAACATTTGCTATTATAAGGCATTTTTTTTGGAGGTATTATTATGTTGTAATTTACAAGTCATTTTGAATATATTCTTTCAACTAAAATGCCTCTAACATTAATGATTGAGATTAGGCCTTAAGAGGGTCAACTGTAATTAAATAAGATAAAATTTGGAAAGAATATAATATGTTTGGGATATCAACGCTAACAGTAATAGTTTTCCTATACATGCGTAAGTTAGTTAAATGTTGGCAAAAAAGCAAAAATTTAGTTAAAAATATCTTGTAATAACAAATAGAGAGAGTATTTAGAGTCCTTAATATATTCTGCTTGTTTGAAATGAATGTCCAAGTCCGAAAATCTTCCAAAATAAGCTTTAACTACTCGGTATTTCTTAAGTGGAGAGGAATATCTCCATTTAGTTCCCTCTCTACTTCCTCTTCATTTATTATTTTTACTACTCCTCCGGTCCTAATTATAAGACCCAATTGACTTATTTGAGGAGATTAAGGAAGTAAGTTAAGTTGGTTATTTATAATAAATAAGTGTTGTCATTCCTAAAATATCCTTGCTAATTAAGTATATTGGCTAAAACTATCATTATTAGAAGGATTATCTTGGAAAAAATGCATAAATATAAGAGACAAAATGGATTGGGGTCTTATAATTAGGACCAAATAAAAAGTCAAATGGGGTCTTATAATAAGGACCGGAGGAGTATTAGATTAACATCCAATGGTTAAGATTTAATATATTATAATAATAATATCATAATATTAATGAAATAACAAATATATATAAGCAGTCAGAAATTAATATGCATACATTACTTCTATAGAGTTTTATTAAAATATTTTATATATTTTTTTATCCTATACTATCTGATTATAATAATATCATAGTATTTATTTATATATTGGTTAAAGTTATTTATATTTATATTTTTATTATTTAATATTATAATATTGTTATAATATATTAAATCTCAACTATTGGATATTAATCCAATGGTAGAGATAGTAAATGGAGGGAAGTGAAGAGAAAGCCAAATGGAGACATTCGACAGATGCACCTTGACTTCATCAATAATCCTCGAGCATTTGGTACGTATTTCCAAGAGAAATATTACTATTTTTGAAAATTTTATTTCTTCCTTATTTTCTTGGGTACGTTAATAAACTGGCATGAAGCAATTGAGGATTAATTCTTGTTGTGTGGAAACAGGATTTGTGTTTGGCCAAAAAAAAAAAAAAGAAACAGGATTTGTGACATCAAAGGAGGCATGCTGTGGTCAAGGACCGTACAATGGGATAGGACTGTGCACCATAGCATCCAGCTTGTGCCCAAACCGTGATGTGCACGCATTTTTTGGGATCCGTTTCATCCTTCGGAAAGGGCCAATAAGTTGATTGTTCAGCAGATCATGTCAGGAACCAGCAAGTATATGAACCCCATGAATCTCAGCACCATCTTAGCTTTGGATTCCACCATCTAATTAATCATTCATCTATTTCGTTTTCTTTCCTTTCTACTATATTTCCTCGGCTTTTTGTGGGAAGGGTTTTCTTTCTTGCCAATTGTGGGGGAGGGTTTGAAAACTTCTTCTGTGTTATTTATACCTGTTTCTGTCATCTCCCTTTTAAGGATTGGAGTCGAAGCTCCATCCTCTCCAAATAATTACAATATATAAGGTAATTCCTCATTTCACTTTACTCCCATTCTTGGATATAGAAGCTACAAAATGAATTAATTCATAGCACTTAATTTTGACTATTAATTTATATATATATATATCCTACCTCCTGTCTTTAATATAAGAGTGAGTTAGGAGTTAGATATAGTCCTAAATATAAGGTCTCAATACATTTTGTCTTCCATTTTTTCCCAAAATATTCCTATTGACTGTAGGAAGTTCTCATCCAGGGATTATACTAATTATCCAATACACATGAGTGAAGAAAATAGTTTGAGAGATCAACACATTTGTAATAAATAACTAACTAAACTAATTTTTTTAAGATCTCTAAATTAGTCATCTAACTCTTATATCAAGGATATGTATGCATGTATATGTATACATCACACTGTCAAAAGGCTGAAGTTCTTATTTCCCTGTACAATAATTTCAGACTCCTCACACCTGTACTCTCCCTTGCACAGATAATCGAGAATATAAATCTTGAGTCAACTTAAAATGCATAAACATAATGAATTGACCCAAACATTGAAGTTCTGAGTGTCTCGCTGGAGGTGTTCGATTAAAAGTTTAAAGCATTTGAAGCATTGGAAAAGTTTTTAAAGTTACAATCTTCTTGGTTTTTTTATTTTGGTTGGGGGGGGGGGGCGTTGTGAATAAGTTAAAATCTTCTTTCTCAACATAGATAATTCTTCTTTTTTTTTTTTGCCGTGTATAGAGTATTTCAATTAATTTTTTTTATCCAAGCAATAAAAGATGATAATGATTCAAATCGGATATTGTTTAATTGGAAAAAATGATTTACCAAAAATCCAGATGTGAAGAAAACAAAACGAATTTCGAATTTTTAGAAATAAACAAGGT